CGGTCCAAAATACTGACATCCGGAAGAGCCTTGGTGTACAGCCTTTGCTTTACCAGATTGAGAAGTCATAGCCGCGGTGGTTTGGGCACATGTTGCGGAAGCCTCTAGAAGGGAAGGCTAAGCAACCGTTTTGTGCCCAATCGACCGGCAGAAGGCAGTCCACGGCCAAGATTGACTTGGTGCAAATATATGGATAGAGTCTGTTGGAGACTTCAGTTGTTTTCTGCCGAAGGTCAGATTCTGGCACAGGATTGGGAACGCTGGAAGCTTTGCCTGACGCGTCTGCTTCTGCGTCCCTAAAAGAGAAGCGGCAATGGAAGATGAAGATGTCTCTGAAGATGCTCAAAGCATGAAGTATCTTCCCATCCTAAAGTATATATGCATCTGTGGTACATTAAGTAACAACGTCTGCAAGTGACGACTGATGGTGCGTGCTACAGCAAATGCAATGCTACATTGAAGTAGGGTTATTCTTCGGCCTATACTCTTCCATTCAGCTTCCTTCATGATTACGGATCGCTGGGGAAAGGGAGAGAATAAACTCTGCAGTGTCAATGTAGACACTCATGGCAGTTAATTATTTGTAGTTTAAATTGATCTCTCAGAAATTGTTGAGCACGGGGCTCCAAAATTGTACGAGCACCATGTACAATTGTTACATATTGTGACACCTGAGATAGTTTATTAAGATCGTCCGAGCTGTGAACTGCGGCTATGGTATATACACGATGCGTTAGGAATATTTAATAGAACAAAGCATTATTATATCTTTCATATGTATAGTTCATTCATTTGCATTCGTAAAATTCGACCATATAAATTTAAACTATTCTATTGTGATAGACGTTCATTAGATTTAAACACTCTATGGTATAAAGTGAAACTGCGACGTTGCAAGTCCCAAGTCCAGATGAGAAAGTAGGATGGTAGTGGAGCACGGCGATGTTTCATATCAAATTTAGCCACCTGTCTTTCGGAATGGAATTAATCCATTCGTTCACTATACGGGCTCGGTGGTCGCCGGGATTAAAAATGGCTGAGCAGGATGTTGAAGAGCTGAGACAGATTGAGAAAAGTCATCAATCAAAACCTGTTTTACGCTTTCTGGCGACTGGATGGCGGGGGTTAGCAGCACAACGATGGCTGCTCAAGTTGTAACCGAATACACCAGTTCGAAGCTAAGCCATAACCTACCACCACCGACAATGGGAGCTCACAGTCCAAAATTGGAACATCTCCTCACTCAGTTGGAAAGAGCTGAAGTTAAAAAGTTAGTTGAGGAGGGCGCATTGTACAAGGTGCACAGA